CATCCCTTCCATCGCCATGTACGCCCATCCTTCCTCCACTCTCTCGTCGTATCTTTCCTCCATCCAAGCCAGTGCCTTCTGTCAAACTATGATGATGCTTGTGCTTTGTAGGCTGTAGTGGGGTAGCCCATAAGGGGTACAACCCAAATTAGGGTTAGCATTTGTTCCCCACTTCTCTCATCAATGCACCGATTCTCGCGTATTCTTCTGACACGGTTTCAAAGCAATAGGTCCGTAGGACCGTTTTTTTTTTCCTGGCCCACCATTAGCTAGTGACTCACGGAGGTTACCGCGCTACCCCACTCCCTGCCCTGCGTCGCGCTACCAGCGCACGTCCTGCCCTGCCCTGTGTTGCGCCGCCCCGCACACGCCCTGCCCTGCCCGCGTCGCGCTGCCCTGCGCACGCCTTACCCTAGGGCCTGCACGCCATCCTGCCCTCACTGAGTGCTGCCCTGCTGGTCACACACCTCCTTACTTGGCCCGCTATGACTTCTCTTCGTGGTAGTGGTGGAACCAGTGGCGACGGTGGTGACAGCAGTGGGAGTGGTGGCGGCGGTGGAGCTGTTCAGTGCGAACTTTCTGGTGGTGGCCAGATGCAGCTACAGCGGCGTCCGAGCGAGACCCTTACGCGCCAGCAGCTTCGTGCTTAAGTATCTTCTGTCGGTTATTGTTGGTCCAACGGTACCATTTCGCCCACCAGATCTCAATTCAGTTTCGCTCGCTTCGGCTTTCTACCGCTCTAACATTATTCTTGCTACTGTTTTCCCCTACTATCTTAGAAGTCACGAGTTTATACCTAACGCTCCTGCGCAAACATCAAAATTGACATCATTTTCACTTCGAATGTTTATGCCTGCATCGGTCTCGACCTTTGGGTGTTAATATCACTTCGACTCTTCTAACTCCTCGACTTCGTACTCGGCAAGTCGACCCCTGTAGCGTACGAAAATGCTTTCTCATAGAAATTCATAGCTCAACACCTCTTATAGATGGTCATTATGCTTTTGGTGACGTGTGTATCTTGAATTGCCATACGTAAATTGTTTTGTTTTCTAGTTATCCTAGGCTGCAGTGAGTTGCCCTTTAAAGGGTACAACATTTTGTTTAACACTTTGTATCCTCTTGCCATCATTCAATTCTCTCGATACTCCTTCCTAGGCTACTTTAAGATGGTATCAGAGCAGGTTCTATGTTTTCCCTCCCACGCTTCCGCTCCCTCCCTTCGTTGCGCCCGAGGCGCCCGTCCCTTAGGCTCCGTTTTGTCGCGGGTAGGATGGCCGTCGCGGGCCTCGATTTCGTCGCATTTAAAGGCCCCCGCGGGCCTCGATTTTGTCTCTTCTGAAGGCCCATGCAAGCTCGTTTAGTCACGTTCAAGGGGCCCCGCGGGCCCTTGTTTCGTCGCGCCCCTGCAGAGAAGCCCGCGCCACCCTGCAGCTTTGCACACGCCCCTGCAGAGCTGCGCGCCACCCTGCACAGCAGCGCGCGCCCCTGCAGAGCAGCCTGCGCCACCCCGCCGAGCTGTGCACGCCCCTGCAGAGCAGCGTGTGCCCCTGCATTGCAGCCCGCGCCACCCTGCAGAGCAGCGCGCGCCCCTTGCAGAGCAGCTCGCGCCACCCTGCAAAGCAGCGCGAACTGCAGAACAGTGCACGCCACCCAGTACAGCAATCCACAGGCCTTCCCAGCTGCTCACAAGCCTTCACATCGGCTCATAGGCCTTCCTAGCTGCTCAAAACCCTTTCCCAGCCACCACAGCACACCATAACCGCCACTTCAACACCACGCCTACTCCCATAGGCATCTCCTGCGGCAGCTAGCAGCCGCAGTTACTTCTACTGGCGCGGACTAGGGTTAGTATCCCAACGCTACAGGCATTCCTAGCCCTGTTCTCTCCTCACTCCAGTCACTCCAGCCGTGCCTAGGCCCAGCAGTTCTCACTCCAGCCGTTCTCCCTCCAACCGTTCTAGCTCCAGCCGTTTCAGCTCCAGCCATTCTAGCTCCTGCCGTTCTAGGTCCAGCCGTTTCATCTCCAGCCATTGTAGCTCCAGCTGTTCTAGCTCCAGCCAGTTCAGCTCCAGCCCTCCTAGCTCCAGCCATTCTAGGTCCAGCCGTTTCAGCTCCAGCCATTTTGACCACAGCCATTCTCGTTTCAGCCTTTCTCGCTCCAGTTGTTTCAGCTCCAGTCCTTCTAGCTCCAGCCTTTCTAGCACTAGCCGTTACAGTTCCAGCTGCCTACAGCCCTTTGTCATTACTCGCTCCAGCCGGTCCTCGTACCAGTCGTTTCTGACTTAGTGGTCCTTGCTGTTTCTCCCTCCAGCAGTTCCTAGTAATAGCTACTTCTGCTCCAGTAGTTCTACACGCATATTGCCCAGCTAGCCCTTTCCCGTAGCGTCCACTCAGGCCTTACAGCGGCAGGGACAGCAGCAGTTTCAGTGGTTGCACCCTCAGCAGCAGTGGCACCCTCAGTAGCAGTGGCGCCTTCAGCAGCCGTGGGGGCCTGGTGGCTCGAGTAGCGTTGGCTGCAGCAGCGGCCCAGCCAGCTGGGGGCCTCGTCGCGGTGGCCGCAACGTCGGCCCCTGCCAGTACTAGATCCTGACTGGCCCTGGTGCTGGCACTACCTGCTGGCGTCCTGACCACTCTACACAGCGCTGTTACCGTCGCCTCGACGGCCTCTACCGTGAGCATTTGGGGTCTGAGTCGAGGCCACCGATCTGGCCCGGTCGGTCTCGTAGTGGTTACCATGTGTTTAATATGTCTATGGATGATGTTTATTCTGTCACGTATGGATCTCTTAGGTTGCGTGTACCTAGCTTGGGATCTTTGCATGTTGCTAGTGTAGGTACTTGTGCTTTTAGTGTAGGTGCTTGTATCGTCACTAGTCCAGCCGTGACATCTGTTGTTGTGTCGCTCTCCTTCACGCTGGACTCAGGCGCGTTTCAGTGTTTCTTCCGCGACCACATTGCTGTCACACCTCTTTCGACACCGGTCCCAGTTGCCTGGCTGATCCTACTTCAGGACCAGCAGTCGCTCGCACCTCGACCACTATCCCGTGCCCGGCTGTCCCTTCTGGTTTCCTCGTTCTCTTGGAACTTGCTGGGTGCTGGATACCTTCAGGACCGTGGGATCACAGTTACTTTTCCGGCACACGGGAGGACGACGATCTATACGGACGCTTCCACCGGGGCACTTCTTGCCACGTTCACCAAGGAGCCCCATTCAGGTCTCTTTGTACTGCACACTGCGTCCCCCCAGGTAGCAGATTCCGGTCAGGTTTCTGCGTCCCACCAGGTAGCAGAGTCCGGTCAGGTTACTGGGTCCCTCCAGGAAGCAGAGTCTAGTCGGGTTTCTACGTCCCTCCAGATAGTCGAGTCCGATCAGGTTCCTGTGTCCCCACAGGTTGCTGTGGCCGGTTTGGTTGTTGCGTCTTGCTCTTGCCGTTCACTCTCTTACTCGACACTCTTGTGGCACCACCGCCTTGGTCACCCGTCCATCCCATGCCTCCGCAGCATGGCTAGCCAGCGTCTTGTCTCAGGTCTCCCGCGCGTCTTTCCGTCGCTCCCTCCCTCGCCTGCCCCGCCGTGCACTCCTTGCATCGCCGGCCGCCAGCGCGCCACTCCGCACTCCTCCTCCCTTCGTCCGACCACTGCTCCCTTCTAGTCCCTCCACCTGGACGTCTGGGGCCCTGCTCCTCGGCAGGGACCTGAGTGGGAGCGCTACTTTTTGGTGGTTGTCGACGACTACTCCAGGTACACTACGGTGTTGCCTCTCACGAAAAAGTCCGAGGTGACTTCTACGCTGATCCGGTGGCTTCTGACCACCGCAAACACCCGTGGCAGTCGAGTCCGCTGGCTCCACTCCGACCGTGGGAATGAGTTTCGCTCCGACGTGCTCGCCGGATTTTGCGACGAATAGGGCATCGCACAGTCCTGGATGCTACCAGAGTCCCCACAGCAGAATGGGGTTGCTGAGCGCTCCATTGGTTTGGTCATGGATATTGGCCGCACTTCCATGATCCATGCCCATGCGCCCCATTTTCTATAGCCCTACGCTGTTCGCTGCGCAGCCCACTAGCTGAACCTTCAACCGCGTGTCTCGTGGCCGGCGGCTTCACCGACCAGTCTTTGGACCCTCCCTAGTGTTGGGTCGGTCTTTCGTGTCTGGGGCTACCTTGCGCTTGTCCACGACACCTCTGCGGACAAGCTCTCAGCTCGTGCCATCCCCTGTATCTTCCTTGGTTTCCCGATGGACTCCTCCGACTACACCTTTTACCATCCGCCTCTCCACCATTTCCTAGACTCCCGTTATGTCTAGTTTGACGAGTCAGTGTCCTACTACACCAGGTACCCTTGTCGAGGTCTCCCAGTCCCCCCTCCTCCTCTTTTCCTAGCACCCTCTCCTCCTCCTGCTCCCGCTCCTCCGGTACCCAACCCCTGGTCCTGCCCCATCAGGTGTGTCTCACGCTATTCCTCTTCCCTCGGTCGCGCGTCAGGTAGCATCTCCCTCTCCGCAATCCCGCAGCAGGCGTTGGCAGGTCCACGACAGGTTACTGTGGACTCAGGGGGTGCTGGAGCTGGAGGTGCTGCACTAGGGGTGCTCCTTTGAGGGGTGCAGGAGCTGGAGGTGCCGGCACTGGAGGTGCCACTTCAGGGGGAGCTGGAGCGGGAGGTGCTGGCTCTGGAGGTGCTAAATCTGGTGGTGCTGGAGCTGGATGTGCTGGCACTGGAGGTGCAACGTCTGGGGGTACTGGAGCTGGAGGTGCTGGCACTAGAGGTGGGGTGCTGGAGGGGGAGGTGCTGACACTGTAGGTGCTAGGTCTGGGGGTGCTGGAGCTGGCGGTGCTGGTTCTAAGGAGAATGGCGCTAGATGCACTATCACTGCGCCTCCCCACCACCACGACGCATGTCTCCAGGCGGCTCGCCGCCGAGAGCGTGAGGAGCAGGAGCGGTTGGAGCGGGAAAGGCGGGAGATGCAGCAGTTGGACTTGCAGGGGCAGAAGGAGGAGGATGAGTAGGAGCAGCAGCAGCAGAAGCAGCAGCAGCAGCAACAGCAGCAGCAGCAGCAGCAGCAGCAGCAGCAGCAGCAGCAGCAGCAGCAGCAGCAGCAGCAGCAGCAGCAGCAGCAGCAGCAGCAGCAGCAGCAGCAGCAGTAGCAGCATAAGTGGCGGCAGCAGCACCAGCAGCGGCGGCAGCAGCAGCAGCAGCGGCGGCAGCAGCAGCAGCAGCAGCGGCGGCGGCAGCAGCAGCAGCGGCAGCAGCGGCGGCAGCAGCGGCAGCAGCAGCGGCAGCAGCAGCAGCGGCATCAGCAGCAGCAGCAGCAGCAGCGGCAGCAGCAGCAGGGACGGCGGCAGCAGCAGCAGCGGCAGCAGCAACAGCAGCCGCAGCAGCAGCAGCAGCAGCAGCGGCAGTGGCAGCAGCCTCCACTTTGCAACAGCTGTTCCAACCTGTTAGTGGCCATCGGGCCCTTGAGCTTCCTTCCTCTCCCCCTGTCCTCTCGCAGTCTCCTACCGCGTATGGTCCTACGTTTCCTTGTCCGAACTCGACTCTGGCTGTTTCCCCCCCACTTTCGGTCACCGTCGCCTCCTCCTTTTGTTTCGCACGACTGGACCACTCGTTGTCCTCCGCGTGCTCGTCTCTCGTGTCCTTCGTACGACCTCCGCACTGTCTTGTTTCGTTCTAGTCCTCGACGTTCTCCCTTTGTGTCTCTTCTCCCGTCGCCTCCTGAGTCGTCTCTTACAGCCTCCACCTCTACCCCTATCTCTGACTACTACCGTGCTACTCGCCCTGTTGTCACATGTGTCATTGCCTCTCTTGTCACGGACCCTCGTGCCTCTTCGTCGTCTGTTTTGGCTCTTACTGCTGCTGTCACCTACTTTGCCGCCACCCGCTGCCTTGACTACGCCACCCGCGTGGTGGCTGCTCCTCCCCGTCCTCTGTCCGCCGGGGGTGAGTTTGCCCTTGGCTGTGACGTATTAGAGGACAGGCAGTTTGAGCTGGAGTTCTTGGCAGTCGCTTCGCCTTCTCTCTGTGCCATGCTGCTCTCCCCTGAGGGAGACCCCGACGCCCTTGACATGCCAGTTCCTTGCACGTACCGCAAGGCAGTGTCAGAGCCGTGGGCCTCTCAGTGGAAGGCGGCGATGGAGTCAGAGATGGCGTCTTGGAGATCAACAGACACTTACGTCGACGCAGTTCCCCCTCCCAGGGCGAACGTAGTCGATGGCATGTGGCTCTTCAAGGTGAAGCGGCCGCCTGGATCACCACCGGTGTTCAAGGCGCGCTATGTGGTGAGGGGCTTCTGTCAGCACGAGAGAGTTAACTTCTTTCAGACCTTCGCCCCGACCCCGAAAATGACTACTCTTCGGGTGTTACTTCACGTTGCAGCACAGCGAGACTACGAGCTGCACTCCCTCGACTTCCCCATTGCTTTCCTTCAGGGCCGACTACACAAGGAGATCTGGCTGCGACGTCCTCCTGGCTTCACGGGTACCTTCCCACCTAGGACCCAGTGGAGCCTGAGGCGACCAGTCTACGGTCTCCGCCAGTCGCCCCGTGAGTGGCACGACACTCTTCGCTCCATACTTCGTGACCTTGGGTTTCACCCTTCTTCTACCGACCCATTGCTGTTTGTTCGCTCTGGCTCCACTCCGTTATTTATCCTGGTCTACGTGGACGACTTGGTCTTTGCTACAGATAACAAGACAGCTCTGTCTGAGGCGAAGTCTGAACTGCAAAAGAGACACACGTACACTGACCTCGGTGAACTGCAGTGCTATCTCGGCCTGCAGATCACCAGGGACAGAGCCGCTCGCACCATTACACTCTCACAGTCACACATGGTGCAGCAGGTCCTTCAGCGATTCGGGCTTCAGCACTCCACCACACAGCCCACTCCTCTTGCTGTGGACCATAGACTCATCGGCCCTTTTCCTGACGAGCCCTTCGAGCCTAGTGGTCCCTATCCAGAGCTTGTGGGCTGCCTCGTGTACCTGATGACTTGTACGCGTCCGGACCTCGCATTTCCCCTCAGCGTTCTCTCTCGCTTTGTTGCGAGTGGGAGACACCGTCCCGTTCACTGGACGGTTGCTGTGAGGGTGGCAAAGTACCTAGCGACGACATCAGGCATGGGGCTTGTGCTTGGTGGGAGAGAGCCAGTTGTGCTGACCGGTCACTGCGACTCTTCGTACACTGACAACGTGGAGATTCACGCTCGACCCAGGATTACTGCTTCAGCTTAGGAGCTGGAGCTGTGTCGTGGAGGTCTACACGGTCGACCTCCGTGACAACGTCCAGTGCCGAGGTAGAGATCTACGCCGGTGCTATGGCTGTGCAGGAGCTTTGCTGGTTGCCTTTCTTGCTCACTGACCTTGGTGAGCGTCCTCATTCTTCTCCGGCCTTGCTCGCTGACAACAAGGCCATGATCCTCTCATGTCGCAAGCCTCAACTGGAGAGCAGGGTGAAGCACATTGACGTGATGTATTTCCTCCTCCGAGAGCTGCAGCGTCGCGGCCAGGCGCGCCTGGACTTCGTGTCTCGGAGGGCAATACTGCGGACTTTTTCACCAATGCCTTGGCGCCTGGTGACCACCACAGGTTCTGTGTGCAGTTAGGACTTGTTGACACAAGTGCTCGCTTGTATTCGCTTTGATCTGCTTATCGTTGCATCTATATATATTTGTGAACTCTTAAACTGGCCTTGTGACCATTTTGCTTGTGCTCGGAATGCGTGGTGATCTTGAGATCCACCCCGAGCTTGTTATGTTGCTTCTCTTGACTGGTCTTATGACCATTTTCTTGCCTTCTTGCTTTGATGCCCCTCACTTAGCCTATGGGGGTGCGTCAAATGTTTCTATTGCTTAGATATAATTGGTTATTCTAGGCTGCAGTGATTTGTTCTTTAAAAGGTACAACCCTTTGTTTAGGTTAACACTTTGTGCTCATATAACCGAACGATCAAGTGAATAGGACAAACGTGCTAAATCTGAAATGAGACAATAAAGTCTCTGTAGTGACCTTGTTATAGAATGGTTAAAAGAAACAAGATGATTATAAGATACAAAAGATTTAATAGCAACATATCTAGCCATGTACTCTCAGGGGTACATTTCCCTTATTGAATGTATTACATAGCTACATTAACCGCGACCTATTGCTATGCTCGACAGTTACCATGATGCAGCGAACAACTGTCGCGCGGTTACTGGGTGGTCAAGGGTCACGACCGTTGACTACCCTCGACGGTTGACCTTCGGGTGACCCTCGACCTTCCGCATGCTCTATATGAGCTATTGCGGTACTGGTACAGTGGAATGCCTTCGGGAATGCTTATAATAAGCTTTCGGTTATTCCAACACTTTGTATCCTCTTTGTTACGAATAGTAATGAATGAGAACATTACTGTGCACTCCTAACTGCAGCTAAGGAAGCACGCAGTATCGAGAACGAATACGAGGAGTCAGAATCGTCTGGAAGTGTCAGACGGTTGGAATGGATCTCGACCGTCGCAGCAGACGACATTGGGCAGCTGCAGGCAAGAGGAATCCGGCGGGAACAATTTCGTAACCGTACATGCCGCACGGTTCGGAATGAATTTGAATAAGGGAATGTGCCCATTAGGGTACATGGCTAGCTAGGTCGATTCGAATTCCCCTGTACTCATATTTATATCTTTTGTACTTGCATGTTTTTATCATCTCAAACATTTTACATTCACTCTGCTATTGAGGTCAAGGGCCCACCAACTTCACTGCCTAGTCGTGTGCGAACCTTCCTGAGGAGACCCTAGGAGCGATCCCTTGATCGCAGCATGGTATGAGAGCGACTCGGGAATCCTTCGCACTGCCACTCCCAAAATCTACGACATTCGGAAAGTGGCGTCCGGCACACGATCGCGTGTGAGAATGGCCGAGGGATCTGGTGGTCAGACAAATCTGACGGCTGAAGCGCAACCCAATCCGGCTATGACAAGCGAGGAAACGATGACGATCGGGACCAAAATCCTCGCACAACTACTTCAGCGACTCGGCTCCAAACATTGCGGAATGGCGACGCGGGAACATCCTCGCAACCTTCTCAACCGGTCACAAACGGCCAGAACGCCGCCCCGCACACTTTCTCCCTCGACACAAATGGTTCAACCCCCAAGACTCCCCGTCCCAGTGAAGAGGCAATTCTCTCTGCGCAATCAAGGTTTCTCAGCATATCAAAAATAAAGACAAGTGTGTGTTTTGACGGCAGAGACTTCTATACCTAGAGCATCGAGCTAGAGCTCCTGCTGCAGAACGCTCAGATTTTTCACTATTTCGACGGGAGTTACGAGGAGCCTATTGAAGATACCGACGATGCCAGGACAAGGTACTACAACGAGTCCTTGATGGCGTACGGTATCCTTCTGCGCAACATGTCGCCGGCGGAGCAGCTCAACATTCGTTCGTACAAAACCTCGCCCGCTCCAGCCCTCGACGCTTGGCGCCATCTGACCGGCGTGTATTAGCCGAAAGACTCCGTGTCCTCGAGCCGGGTGCTCCAGCAGCTATTGGAGACCAAAATGGCCCTGGGGGAGAAGGCCAACAGCTACATTAATCGCTGTCGGAGCTTTCGCGATCAAATCGCGAAGTTGGGAAGCTCGATATCAGAGGAGATATTTGTCAACATCGTGATTCAAGGGCTCGGCCCAGAGTGGCGGCCCTGCAAGGCGCTTCTCCGACAGCAGGGGGTCATCTTGAAGGCCTCCCTTTGCGCTGCCCTTCTCGTCGAACAATGGGATATGGATCAGCAGCGATCAGAGCCACGACGAGAACGTGAATGGCTCGTCTTCTACGCTGACAACAACGAAGAGCGACGGCCACGGCGCCTCTACTGCAAAATCTGCAGGAGTTTCGGGCATTTGGCGGATCAATGCAAGTCCCGATCCCGCCCACGCCAGACCAATCCGAGCAACTGGTCCGGCCGACAAGACGCACGAGGCGACGTGCGTCCAGCCCAAGGGTATCAACCCCCCGCGCGCAACCTGAACCCAGCGGTTCAGCATCAGCAGCAGCAGCCATCATCGTCTGCCCCAGTACGCAATGTCATGAGCAACATGGCCATGACGGGCGAGTCGCGTCGTCGCCGCGTGCGCTCACCATCACCTGAGCCAGCACCGCACCCCATTGGCGCGTTCTCCAACAACAACCCATTCAGTCCGCGCCACGACTTCACCGACGACGACGACCAGGACTGGAACCTTCCAGTCCCGCTGCTTGAAAGTCCCCCGCACATACCTGATATGCGGGTGGCGCCACTCGATTGGCTCTCGCGCGAGCAATTTCTGAAGTTCGACACTCCGCACCTCATCACGCCGCGACTTGCGCTGCTCGCACGTGACGACAAGAAGCGCTACAATACCTGGTACCTGGACAGCTGCTGCGGCCAGCATATGGTGGGCTCCGAGCGTTACATATCCAACGCCGTCGC